GATAGGTTAATTGATTAGTCTAAATTGCCCATAGGTGAGAATACGGGAGTGAATGTGAGCGCGAATGATTTTTTACTCTTCGTTTCAGGATGGACTACTCAGGAGCAGAGGGTGCGAAGAAGGGTAAGTAATTCATTATGTCTTTTATTTTTTAAACTGGTAAGCTCAATACTATATTTGATTCCTGAAAATGTGTCAATAACGGTGTGCACTATTTTGCATTAATGTAACCTACATGAACGTGTTATTAATGGCACCTGTGGTAAGTTAATTGAATCGTCAGCATCCTGCTGCACACAAAGTTTTTAATATTCCTGTTCAAACACTGCTGTAGATTTCAATGTGCAAATAAAAGGGGCCTGAAAGTGTGTAGACTGAAGATTTTTCAAAGCAAAAAACAAAATAACTTCAAGTGTTTTATTCATAAAGCGAAACTTTCAAAGCGCTCTTTAATATTCAAACATGTGTATAACCACAAAAGTTGATTCTGTTGATCTGGACGCAGCGTTTTCAGTGTTAGAAACGTTACATCATCATCAGGTGACTTCTTCAGTCTCAGCTGACTGCAGGTTTCAACCTTATGAACAGTACATTTGCATAATGACTGAAACCAGCACTGAATTAACTGGGAGGTCAGCTCTTTGACATTTCTCCAGATGAACATGATTTACTTACCCTGACGACTGAGCATGCATCAGGACAAATGTGTAAAACCTGTAAGCTGAAAGAAACACTGCAGTAATGAAACATCTCACAGTGTTGTATATTTTTCTTCCAACAGTTGCCTGCGGTCTCACACTGGACCCCGATACAGCTCACAGGAACCTTGCTCTCTCTGCAGACAGAAAGGCAGTACTTGGGTCAAAACGACCAATTTTACATTCACGGTGGGAAGTATTTCCTAGCAGTCCAGAGGTTTATTATAAGTGGGAGCAGGTGCTATGTACACAGGGTCTCACTGGTTTACGTTTCTGGGAGGTAGAGTGGAAGGGAACTGTTTCCATAGGTGTAACTTACAAAGCTGGACCCAACAAAGGTCCAGATGAATCCTGGCATGGAGGAAATGACAGATCCTGGATACTGCTCTGCAAAGATAATCATTACTCAGCGTGGCACAATTACAAAATGACAAAAATACGACTTCCTCGGCGTCCCGTTGGTTTTCAAAAAGTCGGAGTTTTTTTGGACTGGCCAGCTGGCATTTTGTCCTTCTTTGATATCTCCTCTGACACTCCGCTTCACCTCCACACCTTTTTCTGCAGGTTCACTGAGCCCCTCTACCCTGCACTTTGGTTCTGGTTTACACTTGAAATGTACAAGTGCTCAGCAGCTTTGTGTGACTAGCAAGAATAGCAGTCACCAAATGTAAACAACTACTCTGGCTTAAGTGCACACAGAACAACCTTTGTACACACTGTGATCACCTGACCACATATTTTGAGACACGTCAGACTTTGATGCAGAAATATTTTATGTTTTTCTCTGAAAAAAGTGTTTGATCACTAAGTCTCTGACCCTAATGGTTAACACTGGAATTTAGAGTAAGTAAGTGGAAGCAACCATAGTCAGTCTCTACATGAATAATGATTCCATCATAAATACCTGCTCATTATTAAGTTAGCCCAGGGATTAAAGACCTGTTCTGCTCATGTTCACTTCTAAAGTGTTTTTCTTGGACTCCAGCGTAGCTTTGTTCAGTTTATTTATCTTACATGAGGACTTATATACTTGCCTCGTTTATGAATACTTCAGGACCTCATAGAGCACATTGTTATATTAATTAACATTACATAGTTATATTTGCAATGATACAATAATGTGTTCTGTTAGATATATTTCATGTATCTGCTGATCATTTGTAATCTTTTGTTCTGGTCATGATTAAATCTAAATGCTTTTTAACAGAACTGTGTGTACCAGTATGCTCTGCAACTCCCACAATGCTGTGTATGCTGTGCAGGACTCAGAGTGACTGAAGCACATCTTCATACTACATCCTGGGGCATACGCCACAAATCTGTGGTTCTGAATCTTTATCTGGATCATGTGACTCTTTCATCCAACTACAGTGTCTCTCTGTGGCTTTGACAAAAAACTAATTACTGCTGTTACTTGTTAAAAAGTCCTCCTGCCTCCCTGCAGTACCTGAGATCCTAATATGCCTACACTGCACCTAAGGAGGCAGTTCTTCCTCTGTTGAACTCATCAGAGCAGGTCCTCACCTACACAGCAGAGATTCAGAGAGTAAAAAGGGACGTCCATGTTGTCAAACTTGAGCTTGGGGCTGTGTCCACAGATTGTCCACCCTGAATCTGTCTCAATTCAGGGGCTGCATCCTTTGAAGGCCGATTACGTCA